TGTTCTAACTGAACTGCAATAATTACTAATCACCATTGGAAGATTTTCTAACATCATGCTGCTCTACATGGCACTGCTGAACAAATTTAGCTTAAATTAGGTGTGAGAAAATTATTTTGCAATTAAAATTTGATTTATTTGAAGTCTTTCCACACACCAACCAATAATGGAGGCTGGTGTAAGCTATATTTTAATGAGATGAAATTACTGCGTGATTGAAACTGTGGTTTTATTGTACTTTCTGTTTGAATTGCAACGTAATTGATGTATATTTTCGCTAGCATGCAGTTGAATTTTTTTTTTTCTGGTAGCCTACTTTAAATATAAAAAGGGCAGTGAGTGAAGTATGATCATTCAGTTGCACAGTTATCCATGTCAGACATTTAGACTTGTAGTTGAAAAATAAGTAAAAAAGTCATTTTTTACTCAAATGATCACATTTGAATATCCTTAAAAAAAATAAAACTTTCATGACATGTTGCACTTGTTTAGTTTTGTGTTTGCAGTAAAAAAAAAAAAAAAAAAGTTTGTAATAGGCTGCTCATTTGGGGAAAGAGACATATTTAAACATGAAAATGCTTTTATAAATAATCATTCCTGTCTGCATATCTAGCTCTGTTTTTCTAATAATACTCTTCTGACGAACCTGACTCGTTCTTTTTCCACTCTGTAAAAATACATTCATGAATCTAATCTTGATTAAGTTCATATCACCCTCCTCCTCCTAATCATCATGACGATTGAAGACATTATCAACAGTTCCTCCCAAAGGGGGAAGAAGCAAAAACTACCAAATAAACCTTTATCTTTTCATCTCAGTTTGCAGTTTTCTTTTGTAACTGTTTTCTTCCAACGGTCTGACGCAGCCTCCTCTGATGCATTACGACGCTGCAGGAGAAATCTCCCAACAGCCTATCCAACAACCTCACAGATAAGGCCTCAAAGCCCTTGAGACGTCACAGCTTTTAGCCTCGTTAATCCCTCGAGCACTTTGAACAGAACCCCCCTTTCTTGTTTCAGAGAGACCATTTGTCCAGCACAGCTACTTTTTTTTCCCCTTCCAAAGTGTTAAATAATGATAAAATCTACAAGGCTGGTATGGTTTATAGGTTGCCCCTGTCCTGGGTTGCAGAGAGTGATGTTTTAATGGAGGTGGAAAGGCTGACGTTCAGTGGGAACCAGATGGACCTTCTCCTATCTTGCTCATAAACGTTTTTAAGACAGTTCACAAATCAGGATCTCTCAGTATTATAGTAAGCGTTCGGATTGTTATTGTTATTGTACATTTGCAAATACTAGTGTGATTTATTGCTTTTTGAGTATAATTCAAATCTCAACCCACTTAGACATTTAATACGCGAGTGTTTCACAGTTAATATTAGGGGCTGATGAAGTGCAGGGCTTTTTACAGCTTTCCCTGGAAACTGGCTATCATAACTCTGACAACTTCTCATCCAGCGTGAATTAAGAGTGAGGATTAAGATGAGTGCCATCTACTCTGGGGAAGGAGAATTTGTGGTCAGAACATCTTATCTGGGAAAGGAAAAAAAAAAAAAAACATGGTGGCAGCAGGTATAAGGCGCTCTATAGTGAGGCAGAAGGGGGAAGAGATGAAGAGTGAAATGCAAGATGTGAAGCTAGAACAAAAAAAAAAAAAGTGCAACCCTCCTGGGGTCGGCCTTCTTTCCGGAGGAGAGGAAAGCGAACCCTGTTGTTGATGGAGCCTGTGGTGGTTGGGGTTTTGGGGATGCTAACAGTGAAGACGATGTGAACTGTAGAGCAGAAAGATATGAGACGATCAAGACATGTCGACGTTCGGTAAACAGTTTTACAGTTTTAGCAGTAATTTATGCTGCAGCTCACTAAAAAAAACAGAACTAAAATGTGTCTTTTATGACTTTTTTCTTTATAAATTCTGATTTACAGAGTCAAGCAGAAATATAACCATCTGCTAAATATACTTGTAGTGTTCAAATTATAATTGTGGAGAATGTCACTCCATTCTGCTCTTATAAATGAACGCAGAGAGAGGATAACAAACTGATAGAGTCAGGCTATCTGCTCCGGTAGCCAGCCTGTAGTAACAAACAATTTTAGAGACACTCAAATGCCTAAAGCAGCAGAAAACCTGACAAGCAGGGAGCAGCAGAAGGTAGAGGATACTTCATACAGCCGTAAATACTTTGGTTGCTTCCTCTAGAGTTTCATTAAAATGATTTTAAACCACATAGTTAGTATTATTGAAAATTGTTGTGGCTGTGAAACTTTTTAAAACCTTGGCATGCCCTTATGTCTGCACCCAGTTCAGAGTTTAAACATTAGATGTGTCTTTATATAAGAAAAACAGTATTTAATAGCACTTATTCATATTTAATTTATTTAATAAATTAATTAATTAACATCTTAAGTCATCAACTAAATCTTTCACTTTGTAGCTCAGCTATTTTTATACTGCTACATTAAATGGATGGACAAAAATTAAATAGTTGTTTTTATGTTCATTTTGATGAGAATTAATTTTCCTCTGATTGTTGGAAAAATAATGATATATGGAAGACCTTAAGACTGGCAGTCTGGCTGTTAGTTTAGCTCTTTAAACTTTTTCCACTTCATGTTTTCACTCTAGAATACGCCTGAATGGTAAAGCTGAGTTGTTTGTGGGAAAACAATATTTATGTAGCCAAAAGATATTGCAATCAAAACATTGATCTGTCCTCATACAAATATATGACATTTTGGTTTATTATTAATAACCAGAGTGAACCTTCCATCTAAACAATGTGAAATTGTGTTATAAGTCCGAAAGGTGGAAAAAATTCCCCATGAAAATGGCTGCTGGTGTCTAATAGTGGGCGAATGATGCTCTGGGTTTATCACACCGGCACCAGAAAACAGATTTCAAAGTATTTTTCTGAGCCAAACGAAGATAAATGGCCATAAGAAAGCTGTTTATGGAGGTCCAGAATTTTGCCGGCGTCATTCTCGCTCAGATCATGTCTTCATGTACGTGTTGTTGTACAACATGTGGTTTTATTTTAGGTTCCACGCATACTTTTCATGTAAATGCTTTGGGGAATAAAAAGAGAATGCTTTGAAAGTTGAAGGAGGAAAGGATAGGAACCCCTTGGAAACCAACAAGCCAAATAATAAACATTTATTTCTAGGGCTATTAAAAGTGAGTTTACATTCTAAAACACTTGACAAAACCTCATTGAGGAGGTGGGAGCTTTTTCATTGATTTATTAATTTTTTGGCTGCAGGCTTTCACTGGAATATGTTTAATTTTTTTTTTTTTTTTTTTTTTGCAACTATGCAGTGAAGATGTTCTTTTTAAGGCTCTCTGTCAAGTAGTTAAACATTTTGTATACTTCACAAAGGCTTCAGCAAACTTCAGTTTCCATCAACAAACCTCTCAATGGCCCAGTGGTCTCACATAGACTTATGCAGTCATTTTTTTTTTTTTTACAAAAGCTCTAAAATATATGACTTAACATCGGCTTGACTCAACCTGTCATCTTACACAATCTTTTCTTCTGTGCTCAGCTGCAGCTGGCTTCTTTAGTAGAATTTTTTATGAGCTCTCACATTTTCACTCAAAATAAAGCCCTGCAGCAATTATCATTTCCAAACTCCATAATGTGTAGGAGCTTTATTTAAGATTTGTGTCCATCTTCTAAAATGCAAAGACTCCCACAGACCCTGATAGGTTTAATAGTCTTGTAATGCGAGGGAGGGTGTCATGATCTCATGTCATTAAGCATCCTTTAAACACGCACACACGCTGCGCATGTGCGGGCCTCCGCCTCTTGCTGCAATAAAAGCGGATTCCTTGTAATTCTGTCGCCATTGATGAGCATGACGAGGCGGATTGAGAAAGTGCATTTCACCACCACTGTCATCCTCCGTGCTACTGCTTCTCTTCTTGTTGGTCTGCGCATTATGAAGTCGCAGGAAGATTAAAGCCCCGCAACGAAAGCGCATTGCGGAGGAAGAACATTAGCAGCACCATAAACGGAGAAGCGGCGGATTGTATTTTTAAATGCGTGAAAAATAGTTTCCCCGAGTGTTAGCTGCTATCTGGAGCCAGTAAATGTATACAGGCTATAAATTGGATCCCTCCTTGGTGCAGGCTCCAAGTGCACAGAGTTCATCCCTAAAGTGTATTTATGCGCCAAAATTAATAATTGGATTAATAATAGGATTTTTTCCATGGTTATTTGTTTGGATTAAACAACCTCCCGAGCCCTTGTACATTAATAATAATATTAATAGTCATCTTTTGCCCTCTTCATCTCCTTTATTTACGATTTTAATGATTTATCTTCTTAACTGGAGTGCAAAGGGTATTTTTGGTATTATTAGAAAGTTTACCAAGCATTGGTATACTGTAATAAGTAAGCTAATAATAATAATAATAATAATAATAATAATAATAATAATAATAATAATAGATTTTCCCAGGTAAAAACATTTTATTTACATTTTTTCAGTGCAAATTATTTTTAACAAAATAGCACATCTATGTATCAAAACAAACAAATATGTAATAATACTGCAGTTGTCCAAAGATTTCATTTACAACATAAGTCGAGTGGTTCCTGCAATAACAATAAAATCCGCAACCGCATCATCATCGTTGTCATCATCATCATCATCATCATCATCATCATCATCTTCAACTCTGCAGCGCTATTCAAGACAGTAACCATAAGTTTAAATTATGTCCGGTTTTATTATTAAAGCGATGAAAAATAATTATAAGACAAAACAGCAAAACCTAATAAAATTCACACTTTCCCACCATGCTCCTCCTGCCTGCTGGGCTAAAATAGTGTGCAAGAATGAACCAGTCTCTGAGCTCCTGCTGCTGCTCGCTGGAAGTGAACTGACCTGTTTCCGGATGCAGACGCTAAACACTCCGCGGGTCTTTAATGTCACTGAGGCTCTTCAGACAAAAATAGGCTAACAGACGCTTCTTCATTGTTCGTGGCCTGATTTTCTTTCTTTCTTTCTTTTTCATATCAAGACCTACGACGCCGTTGCCGTGTCCGTGGGCGTGGGGCTGGAGTCCGCGGTGGCCGCCTGCGCGCTCCCGCTCATGATCACGCTGGTCTTGTTGTTGTTGTTGTTGTTGTTGAGCTCAGAAATGTCCAAATGTCCGTCTCCGCTCTCTTCCTCCTCGGCTTCGTCCGATTCGCTGTCGCTCCGAGCCTCGCTCTCGCACTCGGACTCTGTCGGCTCCTTCGGCTCCAGTCCCCCCGCCTCTGAGGCTCCTTTCTCCGGCTTCTCGTCCTTCTCCTTGTCCTTCTGAGCCTGGGCCTCCTTGGAGTGTCTCCACTTCATGCGCCTGTTCTGGAACCACACTTTTACCTGGGAACACACATTAAACACGCCTCGGTTTATTTTTTTTTCTTATGTTTTGTAACAATTTAGGGGAAAATATTGGAAGATCTGTTGTTTAAAAATAAAATAACAATTAACAGATTCCGCTGAGGTAAGTTTTCTTCCATCAAATGTATGTAGGCCGGGACAAACTTAGTCCAAAACATATCTTTTAAATTCGCCATTTTTTTAAATTAACATATTTGTACTCACACAGAGCAACACAGTTTAAATGGAATATGAATATTGCAGTTAGATACAATTACCATATATTTTTTAAGCTGGGTGAAAATATATTAAAAAAAAAAATAAAACCATATTCCAAATTCATTGCAGAACCTTTACACATCTTTGTACTTCAGTAGCAGTTCAGAAACAACTGCATGAAATTAAAATGCCTCACAATAATAATGATCTTTATCTTTACACACTGTTTAATTAATTGTCTGATATTTCCATGTTAACTGATGAGCTGCAAACAAAAATCAGGCAGTGAGACACTGCTAAAGATACGATGGCCTTTTTCAACCATCACCTCACTGACGCCGTGCAGGCTGATGTCAAGTTAAAGGCCAAGGCTGCAGCTTCTAGACACTTGGACAAGTAAAATGTGCACATGAAGCGAGCATATGTTTTTAACTCACTATTATTCAGCAGACGTTTTTGTATTTTGTAATTTGTTTCTTATTAAATTGCAAGAACTCTTTTATTGTACAATGGAGGAGGGAAAATATATATATATATATATATATATATATATATATATATATATATATATATATATATATATATATATATATATATATATATATATATATATATGAAGCTGCTACTTTTTTTGTATTTCCTATTTGGTGGTTAAAAATTTGCCGGTTTGCCTGTCATGGCAACTTTGATAAATAACACAGTGGATGTGGAAACACAGTGGATGTGGATGCCCTATGGCGTTGGTAGCAGATTTGCTCTGCAAAAGAGGAAAATGAAACATCCCTGTATAATTATTACAGCAACAATCCAGATCTGATTCAGGCAGTAAATTGGACACAATTTACTGTTTTGTTTTTCATTTTGATCTGAAGCTAGTGCTACAACAGCTTGTCTTTCCTCTTTAAATAAATGAAAATACACCAAAGCTCCTAAGCTCACTGCACTTCTGTTCCTGATAATTAGACACGCAGCAATCCAGCTTTTCTTGGCCGAAACCTATTTCCAATTCTGTTGGAAATCTAACCACATTATGATTGCCCCCACCCACGAGGTCTAAAACATAAAAGAGAAAAATGTGCCGATGGAGGCTGAATCAAAACTAAAGAGAAAATTGAGGAATATCATTAAACTCTCCATTTACATCCTAAAGCATTTATCTGATTTTTCTTAAATTAAAAAACTGCGTCGTTGTGAATGTTGTTCGGTGATGTGACTACCGAATGAAAATGGCGGACGTAATTAATTTCGCTTTAATATACACTGACAAAATCGGACTTTATCCTGATCCTGGATTTGAGCTCTGGCTGATTTCATTAGCGCATGTTTACATGAATGATTCTCTCTGAGCAGTTTGTGAGTGATGGATTTGTGCCAAAAATGTGTTTCAATCACCTTTGTGCACTTTAACCTGAGTCTTACCTGAGCGTCTGTGAGCCCCAGCATGGCTGCCAGCTGTTTTCTGTCAGGCTTGGTGACATACTTCTGTATTTCAAATCTCTTCTCCAGGCCTTTCCTCTGCAGGTTCGAAAACACGGCCCTCGACCATGACCTTTTCCTCTTGTACGTCTGAGGCATTGTGTCTTTCGTGAGCACTGCGTAGGGACCTGGACAACAGACAACAAGGGAGGACATGGGGTTAAAGCACCACCAGAGGGGATTCAAGGTTGAAAACACACATGGAAATGCAGTGTTCTCTGTGATGCTCTACTCTATGGGTGGTGTCTACCTGGGAAGGTGTCCTGAAACTGATGCTGGCCTGCGTGTCTGCCGCTGCCGCTGCCTAGTGAGCCCATCATGGAGGACGCGTTGTTCATCCCGGGGTCTATGGAGGAGAAGTAGGGGCTGGCTGGAGGTTGAATAGGGATGTGGAGGCCTGACTGACGGTTGGAGCTAACGATGGAGGTGAGATCTGTTACAAAATGAGAGATGATGGGCTTCAGTCAGTTTGGACACAAGCAAAGGAGGGAGAAAATTTTAGGAGTAGGCCCTAAAAAGTTATGAAGTAGGTCTGTGTAGAAATGTGGATTTTTTCTGATGATCATGACCTGTGTGACCTCTTGTTAAGGGGCTCCTGAGTCTGTGCTAACTTGCTCTCTTAAACGCAAAACACAGAGTTGCTTCTAGTTTGCTGCTTTCGTTTTCTAAACTGCCTATCCCTGTGCTTGATGAGTTCATAAGTAAATATTTCTTGGGGATAATCGCTTAAAATGTGGCTGTTAGGACTGGATGCTTCTCTGCAAATGTTTTATTACAATCAAGTTGCCGCTCACCTCTTAGAGAAGACTTTTCTTTGCATTTTGGATCAAAGTCCGTGGATAAAATCCTATCGATTCCGAATTTGAGGTCTTTACTTGAAGGCGGGGGCGCCTGCTGGGAGTTGAACGGCGTCCTAGAGACGGTGGTGAGCTGCAGTCCGTGTCTGTGGTACGGAGACGCCGGGCTGACTCTGGCTCCGAACACCGACGAAGGCTCCGGCGCGACGGGAGAAGGGCGCAGCGGAGAGCCGCCGGAGTGCGCCTGCTGAGCGCGATGCTGCTGCTGCTGCTGCTGCTGGTGATGGTGGTGATGGTGGTGTCCCATGTGCACCATGAGGGCGGACGATCCGGGGATGTTCTCCGCATCCCCTGCTTGCAAAATGTCTGCGATGCAAAACGACGGCTTCTTTATGGTATCCACAGCGAAGCCTCCGGCGCAGTATGCCGACCAGAGGCTGAAATTGGATGCGTAAAACGGGTTGAGCCCGGCGGTGTACATCCCGGAGCTTCTAACGACTCGTATTGTTTCTCGAATGATGTTATAAAAAGACAGACATGTAAAACGATAAGCACGGATAACGCTTTCAGGGGGACAGATGCGCGTCCTGGTTGTGCCAAAAACGCTCTCACTGGTCTGAAACTCTAACCCCGAAGTTCCACTCCGAAGTTCCTCCGTTGACGCTGATTGGTCGCCCTCTGAGCCAATAGGTGCGTCGCCTTTACTCATATCGTTTGTTGTTGCAAGCTAAGACGATCTCTCTCTCTTTTTCCTCTCTGTCTCTTACGAACACATGAGCAGGGAGCAATTTTGATCCCGAGATGATGGATTGATCACTTAAAGAGAGCCCACTCCTCACCCACATAACGCACTAAAGCAGTCATTACAGCCGAAGGTTCGCGTTAATTTGGATTCTTCGTGTAAACTGAGTTGAAGAAGGCACTTTGGGGTCAGTTTCATAACACAAAAATACCAAGAAACATAGCATGACATTCAGCCCAGAACACTATTTATACACTTCAAACTTTTTTAGATTTTGTCACTTTACAGCATCAAACTTTATTGGGAACTTATAAGCAATAGACCAACACAGAAGTTAGAAAAAATATGCTTTTGTTCTTTGTACAAATATAAATCTGAAAAGTGTGGTGTGCACTTTTGTTCAACTGTGTTTACTCTTACACCCCTAAATAAGTCACATTCAAATTGTTTTACAAACATCATACAGTCACCAATTGTGAGTCAAATAATAAATATTGCATTTTCTCAAACGCCATACTCAGAATCACCAATATGTCGATCAATGATCCAGTTACTACAAATCGAAGCCAACTCTAAAAAGCTGGGTTTTTAGCCTCCACGTCAGTGTTTCATCTGTTTGAAAAGCTGAATGCTGCTTCTCTAAGTTTGGTTCTGGTTCTGGGGGTGAGAAGGAGACCCAAACCAGACGACCTGAGTGGTCTGGAAGGTTCATACAATAACAAGTAAAGCCCAATGTAAGAGGTAAAACTGTCTTTTGGAGAGAAACATTTACCACAAACATAATAAAATACAAAAACAGAAGCAATTGTGACACACGGTGGTGTGAGCATTATTCTGTGGAAAGGGTTTTGTTTCTTTTTTTAATAGGGACATGGAAGCTGGTCAGGGCTAAAGATTAATAAGCTAATTACAGAGCAAGCTTTAAAGATAACAAACTGCTAAGGCTTCACAGGACTTGATCCTGGGCCTTTCAGCAGGACAACAACTCATCATGAGGTCAGACGTATGTTACACGTCAGAGAATTTTCATGTCTTAGAATGGTCCAATCAAAGTCCAGATCTGTGAATATTTGGCAGAGTATGGAAATTGCGCTGCAGATTTTCTCCTTCCAGTCTGACCGAGCTTAAGGGGGTTTTTTTTTTCCTTTTCTTTTTTTTTTTATAAAGCAGAATGGGCAAAAATGTCCACCTACAGATGTGCAAAGCTGGAAGCTGAAAGTGTTGCAGGTGTTACTGCAGTGAAAGGTCGTCACTGACTCAGACGCTTATTTGTAAAACGAGGTGAAAACAAATATCTCATTTTCCTTCCGCATCAATTTTGTCGATGACATACAGAAATCACACTAAAATACATTGTTGCATGGTCTTAATTTAACGAAATGTGTGGGGGAAAAATGTTTAGGCGTTATAAATACTTCTGCAAGTCTCTATAAATAGGTCAGGTAATAAACGATCAACAGCGCATTCTCATGAAGCTACGCCCAGGAGAGTCTCTATTAGCTCCGTCTCATCCTGTTTTTGATGGGCTCTGATTCGTGTTAAATGAGCGGATACGCCTGTTAGATATGCCCCTAAAATAGAAGCCGTTTTAGTATTTTAGGACGCAGCAGAAATCCTTATTTCTTCCGGAGACGAAGAGGAGGGAAACTTTATAATGACTGTTAGAACTTCCCTTGTTCAATATTTGTGCAACTTTATCTCAACCTGCAAGTTGCACGGTGACGCAAATCCGTCCCCATGCTCATAATAAACAGAGGAAATCTATTCCCCTCCTACGCGCAAAACACAATTAACTTCAGAGGCGATACTTCATCCGCAAGGCCCCTCTCAAGATTCACGCCGCTTGGCTCCTGGCCAGCGAGGTTTTAGAATCGGGTGATTAAATGGCCTTTTCGGCTGCTTGATTCTCACTTTAAACGCGCAGGTTCACCTTCTCTCCGCGCGTTTTGCGCTCAGTCAAAACCGACCCTCCTTCCACTCTTTTACAGTCTGATATTCACTGTTTACTCCCCCCCCCCCCCCCCGCCACCCCCAACACCTCTTCCTCGTCCTCCTCCAGCTCCAAACTCCGATCGCATGTTCCTCTCGCATGTGTTGGAAACAATAGCTTCTGAAGGCCCTCCGCGCACTCATTTAGTCCCGATTCACGCGGGCGGAAGCGCCGATGACCCTGGCTGCCCGCTATCATGGTGTTTTCGAGTGACACTTTTCCGGGTTAAAATTAGAAAAATGACATTTAACGTTTGCCCTCCGTCCAGCAGTCAAAACAATCCAGGGAAGAGGATGTGGCGGTGCACAGCGCGCCTCGAGTTATTTCAGGTGCTGATGAGCTGTTTCAGTGGGAAGCACTTGAGAAAACAGACGTCGGATCAGCGTTTATACCCACGCAGCGAGGAGAGAAGAGAAGGTTGCGGAGGTACATGACGCGCGTTCGCAGAAATGGTTTAGTGAGAAGATAATTAGATAAATGGGGGGAAGAAAATTAAGCAATGTAGTCTGTCAAGAGTGTCTTGCAAAAGATTTCGTTTCACTTGAAAGTTTCCTAATTTCATCACCTTGAAGCTACAAGGTTCACTGTGTTTTATATTGATTTAATGTTAAGTGCACTTAACATTTTTTTTTAATCTAACAAAAGAGGCAAACATTTGTATGTTTTCTACCTGATCAGTACCTTCGTGGAAGGTGAGCCTCTCTCCCTTGTTTAATTTTTTTTTTTTTTTTGCCTGACAGGTTTTCTTCCAGGACTTTCCCGTGTTTAGCTCCATCATCTCCTTTGACATTGACAAGCTGCCATGTTCCTGCTGAGGAAAAGCTTCCTCATACCATGATGCTGCCACCATCATGTTTAACAGAATTGTTTGCTCAGGACAATGAGCCGTATTCCACAACACATTTAGATTTGGTCCAAAAAGTTACACTTTGGTCCCGTCCCATCTCAAGTTTGTTTTGTTATCCAGTGAAAAAATGAAAACATGACTTTCTTTTGCTTTGTTTTAGCATTGACTTTCCTCTTGCGCTTTTTGCATAAAAGGCTGCTTTATTTATTGCGACACTAATAGTTCAGTCAACACCTTCTCACACCTGAGCTCTGGATCTTTGTATCTCTTATTACAGGAAATGATTAATCACCTCCTGGCCTGTCTTGGTAGATTTGCAGATATTTATTTATTCTCAGATGATGGACTGAGCAGCTCTCCGAGATGTCCAAATCTTGAGACACTCCTTTGAAAACTAAGCTCACTTTAAACCTTTTTTAACAAACCTTTGAGACCTTCACAGATCAGCAGGATTTATAATGTGATTAAATTACATTCAAGCGGACTCGGTTTAGCTCTTCTGAAGGTTTTTGGTTGCTCTGGTTTTTATGGTGGGTATCAAATTTTCAGAGTTTTGGAAATAATTTATACTTTAACTTTTGTGCTCTACTTTAGGTTGGTTTGTCATTCAAAACTCAAATAAAATATATGGAGGTTCCTATTTACAAAATCCAAAATGTGACACAGTTCAGTACTTTTTAATGTCACTATAATATATATATATATATATATATATATATATATATATATATATATATATATATATATATATATATATATATATATATATATACATATATATATATATATATATATATATATATATATATATATATAAAAACATTCACATGCATGTGAGGCCTCACTTTTTCTTCTTTTCTCATATTGTGATGTCATTTCTGAAACCATAAAACTCTGAAAATTTTACATAATAAAAACGACACGCTTGATTTACGGACGATGCGTAAAAACGCTGAAATATTTCTGTTAGACTCGTCCTGGAAGGTGTTCATCATCATCATGTCTCTCCTCCAAGTCTAACCTCCGCAGAGCAGAATGACTGATGGGAAACGAGACACTCTCAGGACGAGCTGTGTTAGTTAACGCATTCATTCCCCCCCTTCACAAAGCTGCAGGTCTCCGTGACTCACACAGTTTTAAATCCAACAGGGAAATGTTTTATCGCTTTTTTCACATTAACTATATCTGGATCCTTACAGTGAATTGCTGGTAACTCGGAATAAACGGCAACGGTTTTTACACGTTTGACCTCGAGTCTGCACCTTCTATTTCTAAAATATTAATTTCAAAATGTATTTAAAAATAAACTCTTATATATTAATATGATATTTATTTCTTCTTGAAGTAAAAATAGAATGGAAACAGATGTATTCTCTTCCATTAGATCATAATGTTGTGACCCTTTATGGAAAGTGGGGCTTGCAGCTCCCCGCAGACAATATAAATATTCTAGTTGTACAGTAGAAACTGCAGAGAAATGCTGTCTAATATAATTAACAATCAATTAAACGCTGCAGACGCCAATATTTTGTCCTTATGTTTCAATCTTTGAGGCGGACATGTGACTATTTGTGCTTGATTTTGTGTTTTAGCTCTGTTTTAGAAAAAGCAGAAGTTCTGACAATCATTTTCCATAAGAGGTCACGGCGTTTTGAAACGGAGCAACATCCTTGCCTAATTGACTTGACAGCCTTGCGTTCATACTCTGCCATGAAGCTAATCAGAGACTAAACAAACACCATGAAAACACAATGTTGAAGCTTTTATGAGTCACATGCTCATTGTAGATGAAAACAAAGGCGTGCAACTGTGCACTGCCCGAAGTTTAAAGCCTCTATTGTTGTTGCCTAATTGCTCCCTGCGTGTTTTTCAGGAAACCTTATCAGAAGGAGGAGGAGAAAAAAAAAAAAAACTGAATGAGGACCTCGAACTGTTTACGACCCATGCAGCTGGGCAGAATGAAGCGATTCCCATTATTACACTGAGAATTATTGCTCCCCTCCTGTAAGACCCCCATCCAGTTCGGGCCAGGATTACTATTTCTGGCAATGTTTACCTCAGGAAGGAACTTTCGCAGATTTAATGGGACCTGGGCCATTGTACACAGACTTCTGTATGGCACGCTGCCATCATTTTCACAGAGAGAAGAGAGAAACGAAGAGAGGGCTATGTCTAAAGTCAATTCAAAACATGATTGTCCCGTTTATGTGACCCTGAGCACGTCACGTCTATGAGACCATGACCTCTCTCAGAGGTTC